GCTCGAAGTGAAATAAAATCTGATTTAGCAAAGGTCAACGCGAATTATCTTTTTTTTTTCTCTTTTTCCTTAATGCAGAATTTAAACTCGCGAACAAAACGACAATGTCGCAAAAGCAGCGTAGGCAACGCGCAGGACAATACGGAATTAATTGTCGTTGCGACTTAACGAAATCCGACGTGGTCAAGCTTCGTTCTTGCGCTTGTGTACTTTGTCGACGATATTGCGACGAACGGAGTAATTAATTTGCCTTCGCATACTGTGCATTATGCGCAGATTATGCCCGTTGCAGTTTGCGCTGCGCAGTTCGCGATGTAATTATGTACTTTTGATTCTGTTTGTGCATAACGAGTCGTGCACGATAAAGTTACAGGAGACGCCTGCTAGCTGGCTGGTCGGTTGGCTGGCTTCTCGCCGAGTTACCGACATGCAATCTCCAGCAATATCACCAAATAATTGATTCGCGTTATACACATCTTACACGGTTCCCCTTTAAGAATTACCTCATCCATTAAGCACCGTAACAGTCGCACAACCTGCAGCTTCTAGGAAATTGTTTGGAAATCGGAGGAAAGATTTTCTCGCTGGAAAAGCGCCGAGAAAACTGCGAAAATGGAAATTAGCACACGTGGAGAACGTGATTTCGTTTCCCTTTAAATAAAGCGTCTCTCTGATTCTTGTAATATCTCTTATCGGCCGATTAGTTTACAAAGAATAATGATCAATGGCCAACAGGGTGTAAATTGAGCTTTACATTCCGCGATATACGATTGCCGCGATAACGAGCTAAAAATGATACCCTTTCGAGAGCGGAAACTACACAACGAGAACGAGTAATCGGATTTCCGATGATGGACGAATAACATCATTGCAAAAATGGCTGACCGCTCGGCATTGTATTGTTACACCAATAAATTCGCCTTTTTACTTTTAAATTCGAATTACTGCGTTTTTTGCGTGGGGGAAAGATGCGTTGGCCGGGCGTTTTCGTGAGTTGCAGCCGCCCATATTTCGGCAACATGCGGATGAATAAATACGCGAAACTATTTAAATAAATGCACTTTCCGCGAAAATAGCTCGCAATGAATAACTGATATTAACACTAATAAAATAACTGTGACAATTCCGACTATATACCTATCTGTGCATAAATCATTTTCGCGTCTCCTGCAAAGATAAAAGCTGATTGATCTGCGGTCGACTATGCGATTAAAAAAAAAATGTAATTAAAATCTATCACGCTATTAGATAATTCTCGCAAATTTCCCGTGTATTTATTCAAACTTTCGGATTCCATCGAGTTTTGCGCATACTCGCGTATCTAGAATTATTTCATCATTATTTTTACGCGGATCATACAGCGAAGAAAATTTATCGCGCGACAATGTATCACGCTTCGAAAAATGATAAAATACCATTAAAGGTCAACATCAGAGTGCTCGACCGATTATTGACGTTCGTTAATATCAGCTCGTCTGGCAGCATTAATTAACGTGTGGCATATCAATGCATATTATATGAAGCGTGTCGAGGACAAGATTAGTTTAAACTATTCCAAACGTGTTTGATGCCCGTTGTTGTTATGATCATCGAGAATAGAGAGAATGCCGAGAGGACGGATAAATTTCGATACGAATGCTACGTGCGTGTCGTGAGAAATCTCGCTGATGATCTATCACGATAATCTATTTTCCGAACGGGATTTATTGAGTATTCCCGCGAATACCGAAAGCTCCCGTTGTAATATCAACTTTCGGCGTTAAATATTTTCGCATTCCAGCCATTTCGAAACGCTCGAATGCGACGGCTCATTCGTTTAATCGTCGAATTTATCTGCAGTTTGCCTCGATTAATGTCCACCCCGCTAAGCACTGATTCGCTGGTACCATATCTGCGGAAATCCGAAAGACGACTCGATTTTTGAGAAGCGCTTTATTCCAACGCGTTTATTGTGAAACTGCGATACACTGGTGCGATTGTTACACAACAAGATAATTCTATATGTTTATGATGTAATTAATTTATAATTTCCCGCATAATATAGTATCCTCCTCCCCGCCTCCCCCCCCCCCCCCNTATTATACCGGTAAATTATGAACATTGATTTATTATTATATATCGACTCAATAACTATGCATAAATCGTGTTATTTATTTATATCATTATTTATAAAACTTCGCGATATCCTAGAAGAGAGAAAATTTGTGCATGTTAAACTTGAAATTCACCACGAACTACTTGGTTTACAGCAATTTCAGACTCCGTCAGATTAGGCAAATCCGGATACTGAGCGTCTTAAGTAACTTGGAGAATAGCGACACGTGCACAGAGCAAACGTCCGTGGTGCGAAGCCAGAAATTGACAGTTTAAGATTGAAAGAAAGAGAGAAAGAGAGAGAAAGAGTGAGAGAGATATATACATATATATGCATGTATGTATGTATGTATATGTGTCTGTGAGTGTGTATTCCACCACCTAATAAGAGCGTGACTAACATAATTTTTCGGTTATTTATTATAAAAAAATAAAACAAATTACATATGTAGTATTCAATCAATATCATAATGCTTTTATATTAATAAGCCATCCAATCACCACCGTTGTCAATTATTGCCTGATATTTTCGAGACATACTTTTTACCAATGCAACGTACTCTCGAGATAAAGATCGTCATTTCGAACAAATCTGTCGAGATAGTTGTTTCACCGTGTACATTTTTTTCTACGTTAATAGACAGTTAATAGACAGACTATAGTTTATATGTCTACGTTTTTTTCTCCATCTCGCGTTGAAAAGATATCACCGCCGTATCACAGAGTGGAGAATGAATATGGACCAATTATCTCTTTCTCAATCATGCCTTTAGCCCCCCTCCGGTGTAGGATCGTAAAAATATATGGAACCCTTTTTGTGGGCAGCTTGTCCTCATTATCGTATCGCCAGGATATCGCGTGTATGTGTGAGCGTATGTGTGCGCGTATGTGTGTGCGGAAAGGAAAGACGGAGCTAAAATGGATCTGCATTAATCCGAATAAAGAGTCTCGGCAAATACGCCGCTAACTTGCGAAGTACTTTGCGACGGAGGACTTACCTGATTAAGATTCTGAGATAATTTCGAAGGGAGTCGGGGGAAAGGAGTAGAGGTTGCCGGAGAATCGGAGGATGAACCGAGGAGAAAAAATCTCCTCCGCGGATCCGAGTATCTCGAGCTGTTCCAATACCAAGACAGGGGCCCGGCGAGCATCAAGATTTAACTGCGAAAAAAGACGGAAATTCGAAGGGTATCTCCGCAGTCGCGTAAAAAGAGGATCACCGAGTGAGTTAAAAGGGAAAAAAGCTCCGCGTCGAATAAGCTCCAGCTGAGGCTGATAATGTAGCAAAAGCGCTCGTTTATTATCAAGAGTAACATTTGATATGTATGCCCGGGGACAAGATGTATCCATTAATCAGATTAATTCGACAAAGTGGCGGTGAGCACGTTTGTGCGATCGTTAATAGCTGAAATGAAAAGATACGATGGCCGTCCCGACGTCAAGCACATGCACGGGAACAACGACTGCCGTTTTCTGAAAATTATACTGAGAAATCTATCTCCTCTCGAGAAATGAAATCCCTCCCCCCCCNATCGTCGGGATGAAATATCCACCGCGAACATGAAAATTGTAGATTTCCTTCGGCGAAGGGGATTTGGGGAGGCTTCTTCTATCGCGAAATATAGACGTGCCATTTACTACATCACTTCACCGCACTTTTCCGTCTCCCGTCGTTACGGTCTCAAAAGCGGAGACGGAAGTGGCCCTTATCGAAACAAAGCGTAATGTTGACCGCGTATGTCCAGCTGTATAGAAACTCGCAATCGGTAGAAGAAAGGCAGAAGCAGAGAGGAAGAGAAAGAAAGGGAGAGAGAGAAAGAGAGAACGAGAAGAGGAGGGAGAAGTAGTCGAGGAGTTTTCCGAAGAATTTCAGCCCGATGAAAGAGAAAAATATAAGGCAAAGGCCATTAAAACCACGGGCAGCGTCCTGTAAAACCTGGATATCTTAGATTTCTGACTTCCCGCCGCAAGTTCCGGGAAAAGTCGAAAAATTGGTGGTCTGGTAAACAACCGTGGATATAAAAAGTACGTCAGATTTCTACGTCCTGTATGTGCGCTCGTTTCCCGAAGATTAAAATGCTTACGAGGATGATAAATAATTTTTATTGGACGAAGTTTTGTCTACTTTTTTCTTTTTTAAAGGAACACGTTTTCACGAAGCCGCCGCCCACTGGTTAGCGACATACGAGCGCGCTGCTCTCTGCAATTTTACGGCTCGATAATTTCGCGTCTCATCCCTACCGATAGTCAAGACTTCATATCTCGGAACCTAGAGCGAAATAATACGCAATATATCGAGTAACGTGTTCACAATCCTCCGTATACAGCAAACCTGAGAAATCCCAACGTGCCTTTCGAAAAGTCTGTCACTTCACCTATCCCGCGTTTCACGCAACTAAACGGAAATCCACTTTTCAGCTCAAACGAACGTAATTCTCGTTTCACTGAGTTCCGAAAATCCCGTTTCGAAGACTCGATCATTGATGACCGAAGGGGAGAAAAAGTATCCCCGCATATTTTCGATACGACACGGCTCGATTCCATAATGGCTGAAACACTACGCCGTCTTTGCAAAGTCTCTCTCTCGCGCGCGGATTTTACGCGGAAAATTGCCACGTCCATTTACACCTCGCTCATGCCTGCGCAACGGCGGCTGAAAGAGCCTCGATGATCTCGTGACACTCCCCTCCTCCCCCTCATTTCGACCGGAACACAGGACAATACCGAGTCGTGTCCGGGTGCAAGCCGCTTCGGCAGGTAGACGACGCCTCGTGTCGCGCGACAAAGACGACGGCACGGACAACAACAGCGGCGTCGTCGTCGTCGTCTTTGTCGCCTCGGCGCTCGGCGCTCGCAAAAGAGGAACTGAAACGACGCGTCGCGACGCGATCCCCTTTGTGTCGCAGGCATGGCGGAGGGCGGCAGGAAGCATCCGGTGTTGCTGTACATTCACGGCGAGAGCTACGACTGGGGCAGCGGAAACCCCTACGACGGCAGCGTCCTGGCCAGCTACACCGACCAAGTGATCGTCACCATGAACTACCGGCTGGGCGTGCTCGGCTTCCTGAACGCCAACGTGGCGCCGCAGACCAAGGCGAGAGTCGCGAATTACGGGCTCATGGATCAAATTGCCGCTTTGCACTGGGTCCAGCAACATATCGCTCTGTTCGGCGGGGATCCCGAGAACGTCACTCTCATGGGCCAGGGCACCGGGGCCGCTTGCGTGCACTTCCTCGCCGTCAGTCCCACCGTTATTCGGGGTGAGTTCGGGCATTTTGAAAGGGCATTTTCACTTTTTCAGCGATATATTTGCGAGAAAAGATACGGCAAGGATTGGCGAGGATCGTGCATTATGCAGTGCCGCCAAATTTTTATAACGTCCTAAGTAATAAATATTTCATAACTTTGAATCTAGAGTCGATTGAACAATACTTTGACGAGTCATTAAGTTTTTAATTTAAAATATTAATTATTACCAAAGTTATAATACAAAATGTAAATGAGAGAAGCCATATAATACAACGTTCTCCTCTATTATATTTCAATTATACACTCGCTAATTATTATTATCCCTTTACGAGACTCTCGAAACATATATGATAAAATTATTTTTTTTAATCGGATTTTTTAAAACTGTTCTACGTTATAAAGCCAATTAATATTGACGAGGAAACGCCTCTTTTTTCCCTGTTAGAATAAAAATAAAAGAGTATCTCTGGAAATAATCCTGCAATTGCCTTTACGCCCGAAGAGAAACCGCTAATTCGTCATTCCTCCATAATTTGTATCCGTTGGCATTATTAAATTAAAGTGCCGATATCGTCTGTTGCAAGCTTGAAGTTTCGCCCAGAACCGTTATAATTAATCCCAGACTCGCGCAACTTCGGCCGTTTTGCAGCACTGCGCTTTCGATGCGCGAAATTTTGTCGTCACAATATCGGACTATCGAGTTGTATAAAATAACACGTCGGTAAAGTTGGAAAAACCACAATATAGCTACGAGCGACTGTAGCCGCGGATCGCAAAATTCAGGCCAGCGTTGTTAATTTCCTCGGGAACAGAGCCAGTCGAAATTTCTGAACCGTTCGCCGCCATATTGCGCTCGCAATTATTCAGAGAACACGTTACGCCCGCGTGTCTCGTAAATGATTAAAAGCGCTTTCGCATTACACATAATTGAAGAGTAACAGCAAGTTTTACACAAGCTTCGTTATAGCGCGTTATTTTGCGCTGTTTAATTACCCATTACGCCAATTAGGCATTCGCAAATACGAGGAGAGGCTTCCCTTCTCCCGCCTCTAAAGTGGCTTCTCCATTCGGGAGGGGGAGGGAGGCGACTTAGGGAAAGCTTGAAGGAATTCACGTCGATCTATCGATTCGCGACCGAATTCGCTAACAAGATCTTCTAGGAGAAGGCGAAACGAGCTTACGCGCGCTCGTACCGAAGCTCGTCTCCACGAGAATTCCGTGAAAGTTTCCCCCGGTAAAACGAGACAAATCCACAGCCTCGAGACAGCGACGATGTGATGAACTTCCCCGGCGTGTCATTACACGTTCTACAATTTTTCCGATCAAAAATAAAAAGACTTTGAGTTTCTTCCTTTCTCTTTCTCTCCCTCACTGGATATAACTATACCGATCTCTCCTATATATTATTACACCGAAAGATTAATGTAATCACCGAGGAATGCGAAAATTCCCCGCAGATTCTTAGAGGCAAATTGCTAAAAACCTCAAGACCGGGCGATCGAGATATCTCCCCCTTCGGAGAGCTTTCCCGTCTCTCTCTCTCTCTCTCTCTCTCTCTCTCTCTCTCTCTCTCTATCACAGGCGGGCGTTCATGAGAACATCTGTCGCAGGAATCACCACGCCATCTTCATAACGCATTCCTCACTCGAGGGGAAAAAAGGGAGGAGGAATTCAGAAAGGAGAAATAGCTTAAACCAGCAAGAATATCAGCACGAAATTTTTCTCTCTCCGTATATATCGGATCTCCCATCCCTCCCACCCCTTCGCGCTACTCCTTTCGCCATTTTGCAGGGTTCGCGGTATTTTCGAGGACGAACACGCGCACGGATCGGCGTGGTAACACATTGCCGTGGTTATTGGCTGTCCCCCTTTATATCTTCATCCAGCAGTAGCAGCGGTAGCGACGGCGACGACAGCAATGGCAGCAGCAGCGGGTAGCAGTGGACCATCTTTGTGGTCGTGTTCACGGTTAACGTTCGTCGCTTAACAGCCTCCCTCAAGTCCCTCCACGGATGGACATGGCTGAGAGGATAAAGGGAAACCCCTCCGTCCCCCTCTTCATCTCTTGCTCTCTTTCTCTCGCTTTCTCTCTCTTTCTTTCCGCTCCCCTCTTTTTATTCCCGCTCCTTCGTTCGTGATATTATGTGCGTGAAATATCACCTTTTCCTACCGGCGTTACCTCCGTCGTAGGCGCTATTGGAAAATACTTTCCTCCCTTATGAGGAGGGCACAGTTATCCACGCGTGTCCGAGATGGGAACTCTTTTCCTCGTACCGCTTTTTATCCGACGCGGCTGTTTTACATTTCTCCTTGGATTCCTCCATTTCATTAATTGAAGAATCCTTCGCCGTATCGGGACGAACGGCGGAAATTACCTCGGCTGATATCGCGCGATCGCGTGAACAAGGAACGTGTTTCGGGTCGTTGAACTGCTGTTCGCAAAAAAGTAATCGTAATGACGACAATTTTACGGTCACAGAGACATAAGCTGACAGGACTCGAGTCGTTTCTACCAAATTTACTGTGACTTGAAAATTAAAATTGCGTTTTGAATAGAACATCTCTTCCGGTTTTCCATTGTCATTATATCGAAAAATCCTTCCTTTGATCCTTTTCATCGTGATTATTCAACGAATTTATGTCGTTACTTTTTTCGACTTTTTAACACTGTCATAATATTCTTTTCACTCAATGGAATTCGCGTTATTCGCAGATTCTATCGCTTCATGCTCGTTCATCTTGCGATAGAAAAAGTTTCCCCACTTTTTTTTTTCATTTGTTTGCTCGGAACAAGTCCCCCGATCGGAAGAGATCCCGGCATGCTCAAGTGTTCTCTCGCCTTCCTGACTCCGCTTCATTCATTCCCGTATCACCGAGAACAGAAATGAGAATTCCATTTTTCCGAAACGACAGTCGAGAAACGGCAACCTCCCGTTGTTTCTTGTCTTTGGCTTCTAAAAACCTTCTCCATTTTTCTTTCTCTCTCTTTCACTTCCTCTTTTCCCCTCCTTTTTCATCTCTCGCATTTAATTTTATAATAAATTGCTTAAATCGAAGAAATAAAGAAACTCCATCTTTTGAAAAAGAAACTTATGAAAAAAAAAATTGTATTCGTTATTTTCAAAAAAATTTTCCGGCGAAACAAACATTGTATTTCTCTTACAAGATTATTGGATATGCACCAGATGCTACCGCTTAAATTTAATTTTAAAGACCAAAGCTTAATTTAAGAGATTTTTTAATTATCGGAAATATTCTCTTTACTTTCTTTGCTTTCTTTATTATAATTAAGATAGAAAGTCTTGAATTTAGCATTACTTTCTGTAACCAAACTGCGTAAATATAAAATTAAAAAAGGGAGAGAGGGAGAGATTATATAAAAATATTCTATATAACTTTCCCCCTCTCTCTCTCTTTCTCTCTTTCTCTCTGAGACGCACGTAAGAAAAAATTAATTTTTATCAGAGAGCGCGATGTTCATAAGGTAATCATTGACTAGTTAACAGCGTTTAACGAGCGGAACAGAGATCGCAAATCACTGTCTCGAGACACAAAAAATATTCCATTTTTCCTCATCAAATAATATCTATGCGAATTTGCGCGAGAAAGATTTTCCTCCCGGATAATTATGATCGGGCGGCCACCTTTTTTCGAGAATAACTTTGGTTTGTCTTTCTTTTCTTAGCGAAGATAACGACGTGGTCTCCATCCATCCGAGGTGCCATTTTCGTTAACGTAATTTCTTCTTCAAACAATCCGTATAATAGCGTTATAATCGTTGCCCTCTTTTTTAGAATTAAACATAGCGATTCAACATATCACGTTCTATAGATTCGGCGATCAAACAGGCATATAATTCATAGGAACTTACTCTCAATTCAGAATTACGAATGCCAAAGAAAATTACAAATCAAGAAATCGAAAGTTTCGAATGACATCTCGACGGATTTCTAAGAAAAAGAAAAAAGAGTAAACAATGATATTATTTCTTTTCAAAGACACAATTTCACCCGCTTTTCGTCTCTATCGAATAACATCCGAGAGTTACGGTATCCAGAAAGGATTTCAGACGTAAATTTCAAGGATTCGCGACTTTGAATTCTTTCACCGGTATGCTGCACTTCGGCTTCTTGCTTCGCTGGCCACGATAATTTCATATATTCAAATCTACCTTTAGTTACTTGAGGACACAAACTCGTCTTAGCGTCCCGCCATACAAATCGATATCTATCTTCATCCTCCCCTCGTCCCTTTAGGGCTAAGTAAATAAAAATCAGATTACCCATCGATTCTTTCTCCAACCGACTGTGCGAAATCCGTTTGTAAAAATAACCTCTTTATCGTGAAATATCTCACTCCCGGTGTGTCATTTTAAGAAATAAGAGTAGATCTTCCGGTCCATCGGGCACATTTTCTCGGGAGAATAATTCTTTTATCGATGAATTACCTGTTGTCGTTCTTCTTCCACCATTTTCGAAAATAGAAATATCCGCGTATGTACTTTTGTTAAAAGATTCATCCTCTCATGTTAACACGAGTCTTTCATTATTAGATACCATTCTTTTTTATTCTGCGAAAGAAATTCCTCCAATCAAAGATGTTGCAACTTCTTTCTCTTTTTAATTCCAGTTCAAAAGTGGAAAGCATTCGTTTAATTGTTCAAAACGATAGAACAGAAATTTAAAATCCCTGAAAAGAATATTGTTCTCTTTAAGGATAGTTTTCGATTTATCTTTTAGGATTATTAAATCTTTATATGATAACTAATTCCATCAGCATGCTTCATTTCCTAATCTCGGCATTATAATGTGAATTTTGTAAATGTATAATTTCTTTTAAAACATTGTTTCTTCTATACAGGACTGTTCAAGCGAGCCATACTACTATCGGGCAGCGCACTTTCATCTTGGGCAGTGGTGGAGGATCCAGTATCCTACGCTCTGAAACTGGCCAAAGCTGTCAACTGCTCTATCCCCGATGACCTCCTCAAAGACAATGAGCTGATAGTCGATTGTCTGAGAGAGAGCAGCCTGGAAGAGCTGATGCAGGTCGACATTCAACCACCGACGTTTCTTAGTGCGTTCGGCCCCAGTGTTGACGGTGTAGTTATCAAACCGGACTTCCAAAAGGACCTTCTGTCCTATCTTGGTCCCGAATTTCAAGGATTCGGGTGAGTATCGGATAAATTTGAAGTGTTTGGACCCATTAATCTTAGAACAATCATTTTCTGATTTTCCAAATTGCCTAAATTCTACGGTATATTGCGATCCTGTAGAAGAATACGTTCATTAAAAAACAACAGAACAAAGATAAACTTTTTCTTCATTTCTCACTTCGAAATTTATTCGTCAATTCGCGATAAGAAAAAGTGACTGAGTGCGTTTGACCTTGCGGATTCTTGACGCCAACTTGAATACGGCCGTAATCTAAATGAGGAAAAAGGATGAAACCTGAAGACAGTGAGGAAAAGAGAGGAGGAGAGGAAAATCCTTGGATTCTGCTAGAGCTGGCTTAATAGAGTTTTATGGTAATGCGGCGTATATTTCTACATTTTCTTTCGCGGCCGCAAAGGAAATCCGTGAAGCGGCGGAAAAGTTATTTTGATGTGTGCACTTCCGGGCTTGGCTTTGCTTTCTTGCTCAGAGGGGGATCTCGTACTTAACGTCGGCTCCCACAATAATTTCGCCTTCCGTCTTCCGTCTGACGGATTCCGGAGTTTTCTCGTTAAATGGAAAGTGGGAGCTAAACGAGCCAGTTCCACCGCGAACATTAACGTGGTTCATTAACGCGATTGTAAACGACCCGTCCCGACCCTACAGCATCATTAGCATACTTACAATCGAAGATCGCGCCGCACTCGTACCGGAAACCGTAGGACGAGAGAGCGCATTATCGTCTTTATTTCCGAGCAAGTGGCATTTTCCGACGTTTTCCTCGCCGACATTCTCAATTTTGCCGCTTGTCAGTGATTTTCGGTTGTTGGAGGCTAATTACGGAACTGACAATTGTTGCACGACATTCCCGTTGACTTGACTTCAGCCCGCTCCCGAAAAAAGCTGAACACGGCGCGCCTATTACGAGCAACAACAAGTACGATTTGCTGTTCGGCGTGACAACGAGCGAAGCTCTGTGGAAGTTCGCTGAGAAGGACGTCCTGCAAGGATTCGAGGGGGAGAGGAGGGACAGGATCATCCGCACGTACGTCAGAAACGCCTACGTCTATCATCTTACCGAAATATTTTATACGGTGAGTCGTTGCTATTTTTTCATTAAAGAAATTAATTTAATTTCGTCAAGTTGGACCTCCACTTCTGAATTTTTATGAACCTCAATTCATCGTCCCTCAATCAAAGTGTTATTATTTATCGATCGTGAAGGTCTGAAGATATCTTGAGGGAGAAGTTTCAAAGGTTGGAAAAAAATCGTCACAATTTTCCTAACAAAAACGAATTACGTTTATCGCCGGCGGCACGTAACATACCGCGCATATTTGCGCGTCGCGCGTATCGTCGCATACGCTCGGAATTTATCGCGGGACATAATTGTTACGTTCCACACAACGATTGAATCGCGAGCGTTGCGTTTTGTCGAAATACGCGACGACGCAATTCCATTTGGCCGGCGCGTTATCGGTTCGCGCCAGAAGCGACGCACGCCAGGCATTACTTAATGATTATGGCCAATTAAATGATTACAGTCGTGGCAATGCATTTTTACGAGCGCAATAGGGGAGCCATTGCGCTGTTAAACGAACTGCTTATTATTCTATGTCACCGTAACCGGAAACAAGACCGATACTGCGCATTCGCCAGCTTTTTCTCTCGGACTTTGTTAATTGGACTCTCCGAAGAAACAACTTAACTCTGATTGGATCGCTTTCCTCTCTCCGGCTGTTTCTAATTTTGCTTCTTATATATAAATATTACGGTTAAAAAATCAAAACGATTAAAAGAACTTTTCGAAGATGCAATTTTAATCAGTCGAAAAAGGGAATCTCCCGCGACCAGATTTCAAATCCGTCACTCTCTTGACATTTCTATGACAGCGTGGCTGATAGATTCGGAACCTATCCCTCTTTTTCTATAGGTGGTGAATGAGTACACCGACTGGGAGCGAACGGTGCAGCATCCCGTCAACACAAAAGACGCGTGCGTACAGGCGCTGAGTGACGCGCAATTCGTAGCGCCGCTGGTACAAACCGGAGATCTCTTCACTCTGAGGCACACCAAAAAGCCGAACAATCCCCATATCGCACCGATCCCCGACAGTGAGAAGGAGCCTATGCCCAAGACTTATTTCTACGTGTTCGATTATCAGATGAAGGACGGTGATTATCCCCAGGTAAGTGAAGTAAAATACAAACAAGAAGCGATTAGAAGATTCGATCAAAAATTAATATGAAGATCCCGATCAAAAATTAATATGACGAAAGGGGAAGACCGATGTATATTCGGTAAATCTCTTCGAATGAAATTCCACACGAAAAATAGTAATAACCAAGTCACTCGAATGACTTTTCGCTTAAAATGAATTCTTCCACTCTGAATCGTCGATTGAGTATTTTCGAGTGAATTGTTTCTCGCTTATTTTGAGTGAGACTTCAATCTGCTTTCAGTTCGTATGCGGCTAATGCAAGAAATATGACACGAAGGGAGAATATTGCCCAATAAATAGTATAATACGCGTAAGTGAGTCGCTGGGTTGAAGGATTTCGCGTGAATTCTTCGATTACTTCGAACAACTACTTGATAGATTAAATAATGTTCGTGTAACAGTGTTCAATCACGGACTCGCCCCATCGCTCTCGCGATAGATCCTTCAATCGTGTCCCACCAGCCGCCACCAAAACAGCGAAGCTTGCTGTCCCTGTGGGTGCTTGGCTTCATCAACCCCGTCAGGACGCAAGTTACAGCAAAGGCAATTACTCGCTCGTCGGCGACGCGGTATATTCTCTCATATAAACGTGTGACGACTGTCCTTCTGTCTCTCCACCTACGTTCGTTCGTTAGAGTCCGCTCAAATTATTGGCGTGTTTACGTTCAATTATGCACAGATTACGTTATAACGTGCGCGGTGTCACATTATTGTTCTCGGCCGCGATACGCCGCGACGGCGCCCATTATCAGCACGTACGCAGGACTCTCGGTCTCGAGAGCCAGGCGTACACGTGTGTCGGATTACTTCCTCCATAGTTCAAGGAACGTTTCATGAATTTTGCCGATCTGCCGGAAAACGAATTGTTATATTTGTTCATTAACGCAGGCGAAATTTATCTTCAAAAAAGTCGCATTTAACGCTCATATTATAATATTTTCACTCCTCGTTATCTCTCTCTCTCTCTCTTTCTCGTCGCGCGTAATTTCGTCCGTAAGATCGGTGACGCCCGCAAATCTACCGCGCACCGCAATTTATCAACTTTCTCTTCTGTTTCCGCCTTCATTGCATCACGCGCGATGATCTGCAGAGGGATGATTGCGGTCGGTCGACGAAAGAGACGCCGTTCGCGCAATAAATCAGCAGCGCTTCCGGACAAATTCGTCGCGAGTGAGCGTCGTTAGGTTAGATCGATGATCGATCAACGGTCGGTCGATTAACGGGTGGATGTTTGACTTGCCGGCTTCTGAGGAAACTCCGTCGGGTAAATATGTACGGAGATCGCGCCGGTAGAATAATCAGTCGAATCGCGAGACTGTCGCGCTCTCTCGCTGTTTGTGATGCTGTCCCGAGCCGGGGGCGTCTAACATTCTGCCTTTATCTCGCGGGACGCATCTCCCCCGTTGTTTGCTATCGTAAAACGAATAGAACCCACCCTTCATTCCCCCCACCCCCGGTTGCATCCATAATTACTCCGAATAAATAGTCGCGGCTTGGCAATATTTCAACCGCCACAATCGCTCGACTACGCTCGTGGTCGTGCATTACCTATGAATTGAATCGGGTATCCTTCTACTACGTGGAATGTGTTCCGTCATGATACATCATGAGAAATTCATGTGTATTACTAATGCAGCAATTCATTTACTTCATAGATAGATGCTCCGCTACGGGTATGAGAAAAAGACTCGCGCGCAAAAAAGCACGGGACGTATCATCATCGTGTTCCATCAAGAGATCCCCGCTAGGTTATATAAATTTGTGTTTGTACAATTGTTATAACATCCGAACAACGTCCCTTTTTGTTCACCCCCTCCTTCTCCTTCTCTTTCTCTCTTTTCTATATGTTAAAATAAATATTTTCCCCTCGAACCGTGCTCTAAGAAAACCGATAACACTAAGATAAAATCTCTCTCTATCGAGTTTGCGAATTTCGTCAGTTGTATCAATATAAATTTGTCCTCATAGTCGATACAGCGGTCGCAGGACGCCGGCTGCTCTCACGAAAATAGTTGCCGCGAGACAGCGCGCTTTATTCTTTATTAACTTATTCAACGTTTTAGAATTAAAAACGTGCGCCGCGGGGTTGCGCTGCTGCCTTGCGTTATTTAAGATTAAAGTGGAATAATAAGGATGGGGTAGGGCAAAGGGGGAGGAAAAACTCGCGCACCCTGCGACACTCATTTCCCTCGGCTACGAGGAAAATCCACTTCTAAGACGGGACGCACCACAACGCCATCACAGAAGATAATGGGGAGATTCGATTTACGATGGAGCCGACGCACGTACGTCGAATATAATAAAGACGTCGGGTATCGCGTCGTTTGCAGTCACCGCTATCTACGGCCGCCATTACGACTTCAATTCTACTTCAATTTTCGCTAAAATTATTTGCGCCGAGCAAATCGATCGGTTTATCCGGCCGCTTCGCCGATTTCCATCTTATTACGCGTTGAAAACTAATCAGACTTCTTGACAGCGGAGATAAAAAGAATGAAAGGAAAGATAGAAAAGAGAGGGAGAAGTGAAGAAAGAGAGAGATGTCTTCGGCCGATCGTCGAGCGATCGTGCTGCGTTTTCAAAACTCGATCACATCCTCTAGTCTGTTCATAACGGTATGGCGGGCGCGTACGTAGGCCAAAGGACGGGAGGTCCTGTCGATGTGAACGGCGCGAGAATATCCCAGTCACGTCACGCGCGCCATATGCGCAACACCGCGTTTGCCCACAATGCAGTTTTCCTACTTCTTCGCGTTTGCCGGCAATTCCTCGCTCTGCAGGCAGACAACCGACGCCGCGTCTTTCCATAACTCGGTTTACACACACGTAATCGCGAGAAACTACATTGTCCTATGTTGACCGGCAAACGGATTTTCCGATAATATCATTCCCACGGTGAAGAGTCTCAGCAATGATTATAAGCGGCTATCTGAGCGCGTGTGAATCTGTCTGTGCTGCGAATCCGAAAATTTAACAACCGAACGCCCGCGAAAATTTCTCAAACGTTCGCTACCAGCGTGTGTGATGCATCGATCTCTCTCGCAAGAGACTCCTATTTTTGAAATGGTTGCGTATACATAAATGTCATTGCGCAGCTATTTTATGATATGATTATACTTGCGCAGTGACACTTACGTATATGCAAATATTTCAAGAATAGGAATCCAGCGTCACATATGTGTGATAGTGATCATTTTTCTTTTTATGCCAACATAAACAAACAAGTCTGTTTGATACATTTACAATAAAAAATAAAAGGTGATTTGTGGAAAATTTGTTCCGAGTAAACTGTGGTAACGAATATATAAGTTACAAAGGACCTAAGGGGATATACTTATTTAATATAAAGGGCGTTTACCACAGGTCGATAACCACAAGCTTCTAGTTTAATCATTTCTTCTCCGTTTTAGTTTTAAAAGGCAATATAACGTCTGAAATCGTGGCAACCAATCTTTCGCGTTTAACACTAACTAAATTATTCATAATTTTATTAATATTAAAGATAATAATGTATAGAAATTCTTGTGCAGATAAAACAGATAAATATTTATACAAGAGTTCAGAATTATACGTTTTATAGTTTTTACAAAAAAATATTCCTGAAAATCGCCTATTAGACGGAACGTTTCAAATAAAAATACTCTCTTAAATAATGCTTGGACGTAACAAACGTTGCTAGAAAATTAATGATGGAAACTACGCACAGCGGTGTCATGTTTTGCACGACCAGAAACCTTCTTTCTTTTGCTCAATAACGAAAAGGAAGCAAGGGAATAGAGGAAGAGAAGGAACTAGTTTTTTCTCGAATTCGTAAGACACCCTGCTTGAGGAAGCAGCTTGTAATTTAGCGACAAAGTGAAAACGGACTTTGCGGGTGGGTCGCGATCGATCGCGCGCCTGGCACGAACGAAATTCATCCCGAGGATCGTTGGGGGATTTGCAAGGACCCATCGATACGCGGAGGATTTGCGAAGCCGACATTTAAAATCTATCAGCTCGTGCGCCACCTCGTCCATTCAAGGACACTACGCTCCTTGCGAATTCTTTTAAAAGGCTCCCTTATGCTGTAACTCGATCAAGAACAATTTCCTTCAGCGGAGTACGCTTACCCAATGGGAGATTCGTAAACCAACGGCAAGGATTATCGTGAAAACTGTAATCGCACTTCCAGTGTAGTCACTTAGCTGCGACTCTCGTATCTCTTTGTTCGAATTAAAAAAAATTCTTACGTTATCGTTTGAAAATGAAAAAAGCAAATAAATATTAGATGTCAAAATAAAAAGTGGATATCAAGTAATAGAGAAAAAGACGATATTATAGCTCCCAATTTACATTTAAAATGTATTTGTATGTATGGATAAAGTTGTTATATAATACACTCATAACACACATAAGATAATACACTCAAGTTTAAGAAGAATGAAAAAAAAAATGTATAATTAAATGCTAAAATGTACGTTGAAAACATTTCGAAATGCTTAGAAAGAAAAATGCGTTAACAAATACCGGCTATTGTGTATTGGCACATTAGCGCCACTGCATAATGGCGAGCTACTACATAAATGATTCCATAATAAAGTAATCACCAGAATTCTTCACCTAATAGTGGGGATACTAAGAGGAGTCATAATACGTGTACCTACGAGAGCGATAATCCCAACCTTCCCCTTTATTAAATATTGTTAGAGAGATTCTTAGATATATTTGGACTAAACATTTTATTCAATATTCTAGAGCATCTACAAGCAAAATAACTCTTAAAAATTGCATTCTGCAGTGGTACGTAATATTACGAAGAAAGTTCCGTTCAAACAATCGCCATTTTGCACGAGATGCTGGAAGAAAGTTCCGCTCGACGCACCTGTGTTTCCACAGTGATTATTCGTCATTTTTTACAGCGTAACGTAATCGCAGAATTGCATTCAGCTAAAATCTATGTTCCAGTTTTACCTGACGGTAAGCGATCGA